ATTTATCAGTTGATTTCATCTATATCCCACCTTTTCCTCCAAAGAGCTCAAATGGAATAAATGGTCCTTCCCCAGATACTTTTACACTCACAAAAACCCTGTGAGTATGGTCAGGCTAAAGATAGTAACTTGCCCAAGAGCAACCTATGAGCTCCCTAGCTGAGTGGGAATTTGAATTTGGATCTCTCCCAATTCTAGTGTGGCATTCTAACCACTGTGCCATATGGATGAAGTTCTTTGTCACCTTTCTTGTTTCCTGCCTCCACTTTCTAACTCTTGTTGATATTAATGTTTGCAGTTTATATAGTGCTTTAAAAAAAGTCTACCTAGCCATTTGCAATGACAATATAATTAAATCTATGTTCTTCAGTCAAAATTGGAGAATAAAAATAGTACAAAAAATGAAATCATACATCTCATTTAGTGTCTGGATTGCTCACTGGGGCAATGATATCTATAAAATATAATTATTTATTGGGGAGCTCATCACATTCCTTCTCTGTAGCTTTTGGCTTTCTCATCCAAATGGGTCCTAAAGGACCTTTCAAAGCCCTGTTCATTATCCTTAGATTTTCTTCATTGTGATATATGTATCCGAGTACTGAAAAATATAGAGAGACTGAATGGGGGGGGGGAGTTCTCTCAAAATACTACAGAATGATCCAATAAGATTGCTTGCTAGTATCGTTAGCACATAAAATTGGGGTGGGGGTGGGGAATTCATACAACACATAGTTAGCTGAATTCATTCCCACACAATGGTGAGCTCTGCCAGTCTTAAAAGATGAATTAGTTAAACTCATGAAAGATGTCTATAATTGGCTATTAGACATGAAAGCTAAAAATATCCATTTATATTGTTATTCATATGCTAACAGAATTTTTATTAATTGAATTATAGGGCTGCAGCTCTGTATTATACATACCTGAAAATAACAGCCATTGAACAGAACAGAGCTTACATTGAAGTTGATATGTATAGTATTGCATTGTAGGAGATCACAAATAAGAGGGGATGCCATCCTTCCCTTCGCCTCAGGCAGCAAAATGTCTTGGGCTGCCCCTGTGAATGGGGTGGCATATGGATTCACAGTCTTGGGTTGCTTACTGATCTATTCTTGCACCGGAGACCAGCGGTGGAGGAAGCTGCTCGGGCGCCTGGGGCGGTGTGCCCAGGGGAGGGGCAAGCCTCCCATAGGGGTGGGGTGCACTGCAGGGCCTCTGGAGTCTGGCTGCCTCCTCCCACTTAGCCGCCCTACAACTGGGGGGGGGGGGGAGACATCAAGCAAACTGTTTGGGCAGCACAGAGCCTGCGCTCGCCCAAGCCACCACGTCTCTTCCAGGAGAGACGCCTGGCTTGGGCACGCTACAGGCCCTGTGGTGAGTGCTGCCTGGTATTTTGTCACCCCCCTCAGTGGTGACACTCGGGACAGACCTCACCCACTGCACCCACCGCACCCCCCTTCCTCCACCCCTGCCAGGGACACCATGGCACATAACACTTTCTACCACCTCAAGGTAGTGCACCAGCTGTGGCCCCTTCAGGATAGCCTGACCACATCCATTCACTGCTGAACTCTAAACGAGGCTGCAGTAATGAATTGAAGACTGTTTGGGAGATGCAAGTTAGTTCAAAATAGAACAACCCGGCTTCTCACTGGGACCAGACATAAATAATTCTGTTGTGACCACTCACTAGCTCCTACTTCATTTCTACACACAAGGCTTGGGATCTGTGCAACAAAACACATTTTTCCACGTCAGTCTGCACACTTTGGTTATCTAGGACATCTATTTTCAGAATCCCCATGGTGTCTACAGTAAGGCAGCTTGGGAATGGACCCTCTTAGCTGCAATGCCTCTGCCACTTGGGCGGGTGGTAGCATTCGATAGTAAAACATTTTCAAATTGCTTTTGTGGTGCATTGTATGGCACAACTACTATTGGCTGTTCAAGATATGTCCTAATTCTACAGTAATACAGAAAAACCACAAAGAAGAGGCTAAGGGAAGAGCATCCATCCATCATAATTGCAGTCCCCATGTGAATAAACCTCACCCTCCTTTGTTGCTTCTTCAGGCTTTGGATAAATTAAGAGAATTTTCAAAGGCGAATTTGTACAAGTATTTCATATAGAAACTTTACATTTGCTTTCTTCAGTTCCAAGACACAGTGTTCACAGATGTTGCAAAGCTTTTGGCTGGTTGTTCTGTATCTCAAATTAAACATGCTATGGATGAAAAATAAGGTCTGGTCCAACAAGCAAAAAACACAAGTAACTTCATTTGTGCAGAGTAGGAAGACTTCTTTTTGGGTTTTAATTTGATTTAATTTGTTTTTTGCTTTTGCTATTCTAAAGATTTATTAGTTTTCTTTAAAAAGGAGAAGAAAAGTTTCTTATGTTGTAAGGGATACAACAAAGCCCCATAAGAGGAATAATAACAACAACAACAATAATAATAATAATAATAATAATAATAATAACATCAACAATTTTAAGCAGAAATAGCTTCTGTGTAGGGAAAAGCATATTGACTATATACAGATCATAATGTTTCACAATTGGAGGCATATCTGTTTAGCCCTGTGCTAGCCCTGGACCTGAGGGTGGAGAAGGTGGGTGAATCTGGATGGGAGTGTCCAGCTTTGTGGATCCTTATCCACAAAGAGTGTTTCTTTCCATTTCTGTTATTTACCTTAAGTTTACTTGGCCATCACAGTTGGTGATAGATAGGAAGGATAGAATCCCAGGGAGCAGCTGAAGCAGGGAAAGAGGGAGGCCAAGAAGCAGAGACTGGTAAAGAGTCACGAGTGTCTCCTCCTCCTGCCACGACAAGCTCCCCTCCTCACTTGTCTCCCAGAACCAGAAGACACATGAAAAGGGTGGAGGATAGATTGACTGTGCACAGACACAGTCTCTGATTGCTTGCTAAAAAAAAAAAAAAAAAACTGTGGAGAGGAGGAGACCTAGGCTGCTGTAGAGAGGCAGGGACCTGCAGTTTCAGCAACCGCTTCATGGGGGAAATATCTGCTGGGGATGAGTTGCTGTGCTCATTAGGCCTGACACTCTGACAAGTCTGTGAAGGGGGTGTTTTAGCTAAAAAAGAGATAACTCCAACTTGCATGGTGTGGTTTACTACCAGCTCACTCCTGAAGTGGTATATGTAGAGTTGAAGTGGTGGGTATGGAGACAATGTGACAGGAGATCCTAGGGATCTGCTGTGTAGTTAACTTGCACATGAATGCCATACCTAAGATTGAGATGGTTCTTACATCCCATCAACTGCTGTACTGAAGTCGGGTTGGGGTTCTAATTTGAATGAGATAAATACCTTTTCCAGGTGACCCATGCCAGTATTCTAACACCACATCCGGCAAAGCAAAGCAACACAATACTAACAACAGTGAATGACAATTGATTGAAGTGTTTTCCCCTTGCCTGCTGCAAGGGTTTATAATTCTTATGTGTCAGCATTTGTGTACAATGTACTAAATCCAAACGGAACGTGTAGTCCATAAAATGCTTGGCAGCTTTCAAAGTATTCCACCAGTACGGGGAAACACTTTATTAGAGGTTTACACTTCTGTACTTGGCATGCGTTTCTTGCAGTTCTGTGAATCTGCTTTATTCGGAATGAAGTTTCCATGCTAGAACGCTGGTTACTGTGTAGGTGAAATTAAAACTCAAAATTCCATGGATATCCAGACTTGAAAAATCAGAAATGCATTGTTCCTTGCTTTCTGCCTTCCTTCCCTTCTTTGACCTTAGGTGCAATCAGCAAAAATGAGTGTTAACATTTTTCCAGACTGTACCATCTCAGACAGCAGGGTGGGTCCATATATGAGTGATCTGACATAAAAAAAGAACAAAACAGCATCTCAGAACATAGAAATCAACTGGTCTATGAGCAGGCCATGCTAAATCCTCCTTGTAAGTTTTTTTTTATGATAAGCTATCCTTCCCCATAAGGGACACGGGCGGCACTGTGGGTTAAACCACAGAGCCTAGGGCTTGCTGATCAGAAGGTTGGCGGTTCAAATCCCCGTGACAGGTTGAGCTCCCATTGCTCAATCCTTGCTCCTGCCAACCTGGCAGTTCGAAAGCACGTCAAAGTGCAAGTAGATAAATAGGTACCACTCTGATGGGAAAGTAAAGGGTGTTTCCGTGTGCTGCTCTGGTTTGTGAGAAGCGGCTTAGTCATGCTGGCCACATGACCCGGAAGCTGTACGCCGGCTCCCTCAGCCAATAAAGCGAGATGAGCACTGCAACCCCAGACTTTACCTTTTTTACCAATCCTTCCCCATACATTCTCTCCCCACCCCATCCCACCCACCCACACATGCCTCTCTGGAGGTCCAGGTAACCCTCTTGGGTAGTTTGAGGTGGGGTATGGATGGAAGCATCTTGCGCAAGCAGCAGATGGAATCTATTTTTTTCTCCCCCAGATCTAAGCATCTCAAATGTGAGTGCTTCAGTTGGAGGCCACACAAGAAAAATATGATTATCTTGAAAATAAAAGTTCTAGCGCTTTTTTGTTTTTAATTTCTGGAAAAGTTGCCAGGTTTGTTTGGGGTTTTTTTTAATTCTTTTCAAGAACAGACTAATCTACTTTTCCTGAAATAAATGAGAAATCCAGTTTGAAAAGAATTTTTTTGTAAGGTTGAACACATTTGGATTTATTAAACATTTTGTAAAGCTTATTAAAATCTCCTTATCTTGGGTTGCAGAGCAAACCAGCTCCCTTTGTTACTTAATTGCCGCAGATATCAATAAAGGAGCTCACTAGGTATCACAGGCTGTGAGAATGAGTGATTAGGTTAGTCTAGGTCAGTGCTCCTTATCCTTTAGAATCTGACATTCCAGGGTTGCTTTTTCAAGAGCTGTTCTCTCTGTCCAGGCTATTGTTGTATTTTAATAATTATTGCATGATAAGCTGCTCTTCAATAGAGCTCAGCTGTGTGTTCAAATGAAATGAAAATGATAGTGGCATCGTAGTTAAATGGAGCAGAGCACACACTGTAATAACACACCCACATTATGTGTGTGTGTTATTACAGTATGTGCTCTGCTCCATATATATGTACACACATACTTTCTAGTAGTTTTGACTCTAGAAACCTTCCAATTTTTATTGCAATGCCTTCACAAGAGGGACCGGATTCTGTAGTTCTCAGAGTGTTGGATATGGACGTGGGCCTCCTGAGTTCAAATTCAGCTGCGAGGTATACTAATAACATCAGCAAATCACTCTGTCTAACCAACTTCACTGGTTTGTTGTGAAGCTTAGCTGCTGCTTCAAAGCCTTTGGAGAAATGTTGGGATTGTGCCCCTACTGCAGAGCAGGGCAGGCAGGCAAGAGCAAGAACTACACATAGACTGAAGTGAGATTCAAAATGGCTATGATGTTTATAGGACATGATTTGGTATGAGATGCAGGATGGATCCAGATGCCAGACACCCTGGTTGCTGACCAATTTCACCATTCAGTCATCATTTTCGGGAAAAGATAGATGAGATAGCAGGAATCCCAAGCTTAACTGAGAACCAGTATCACGGCCAACTTGCGTGTGCAGCAGATATGCCAACCCCAGAACGGTACTGGGCCATGAAGCACCACCCCCAGATCACAGAATCAAGGGACCATCAGGATCATCTAGTCCTTGAAGGAGATCTTCCAAGGGGGCCCCACCCCTGCTTCCTCCTGCTATGGATTCAATCCAATGCCTCCAGAGCCTTCAGTGAGAAGCGTGATGGGAATATATAACTATAAAATTAAGTGGAAGGTAAAATCCTGTACAACTGAAGACAGTCTTGAATGCCAGAAGAAAACCTTCCTAGAGCCATCAACTAGTGACTAACCTCCGACCCTATCAAGGTAAGGCATCATACGTATATGCTTGTCTTATTACAAACAACAACAACAACCCTGGAACCTGATGGTGGAAGATGGCTAAGAAATTTTTTAAATCAAGTGAGTGAGGAAGTCAGTGATGACTATGCCATGTGACTGTTCCAGGCATCTCCCTTAAAGCCTGGAAGCAAACCAGAGGGAAGAAGTTCTCTCTGTAGTTCTCACCAAGTCACCTGCTCTCTACCAGGCCCCAGGCTTCAGCTTGGGCAAGTGGTGAGCAACTTTAGTGCACCACCAGCCGCACAAAGGAAAGATATCATCGCTCTCTCCCTATTCCCCAGGTGACAAGAACAATGACGCCACCATCTCCGCAATCAGTGAACTCCAAGGGCTACTAATCTATTACTTAAGACCTCACTGTTTTGTAACTTTGAGACATAACTGCTGCAATGTTGTTGAATGAATTTGTCATTAGACATGATGTGATTTAACATGATGAAGACTGTGGCATCTGTTTAGGATGTATGTATCATAATTCATCTTCCTTTAAGATTTACCGAGAACAGTTTCTATGTATGAGCTATGAACACTGGGGCAAAGAGATATGTTGTTGGGTTTTCCTCTAAGCTTTGGCGTCCTTTTTTCTGGAAGTCTGGAAGATACATTAAACATTTTTTAAAGAATATTTAAGCAAGCATTTAGTGTGTGTATAGTTACTTTATTATTCCATGGCTTGTTTCAACCTTCTGTGCCAAGCTAATATTAGAAGAGAACACTTAGAGTTTGATCCTAACTGTGTTTACTGGGAAGTAAGTTCAATTGATTTCAACCAGATTTGTTGCCAACAGGATTTGCTGCCTAGGATTGAAGCCAGAGGATAATAATATTGTGGCAGAACATGAACTGATCAACAAATGTGATTTGTGACTTCAAAACATTTGCAAGCTCTCTTTGAGTCAGAGCAACATTGCATTTAGAATAATAAATTAAAGACTCCATTGAACATGCACTGCTTTTTTGGACAAGAGTGTTGTGTGGGTTTTTGGTAATGGTCAAAGAAGGAGCCCAATAAAAATTGAGAACAAGGAATGTAATTAGTGTGGTTGAAACTGTTGAGGTAAGTAACATTCCCCTCCAAGGCAGGGAGATCTGTGCATAATAGCAGTGAAATGTTTCATGAGTAAATGTAATTCATCCATTACCAGACTCTTGCTGTTTTCATATTGGTCATGATACTATATATTGTGATATTCATTATAACTACAGCGTTTACAAATCCTCTTCTCACAATAAATCATTTAGAAGTCATAAAATCCCCATGCCTTTTCTTATTTCTCTTGAAGGGCTATGTAGTAATAATGTTTTCCCTTATGTAGGATAAAAGAGCAGACAATTTGGTTCTGTTTACATTGTGCCCCCAAAATTTCATTCATTTTCCTTGCCTTGATCAGTATTCAGAACTGAAGCCATCTTCACTTTCCAAATTAGTTCAGCAGAAATATTAATCAGATCCACAGTGAAAACAGAACTTGAACTAACATGATTCCTTTCCCCCTTGTGTTTTAAGAAATGATTACTCGGGGGCGGGGCGGGGGGCGGTATGTTTCACTGAAGATATTTGAAACTGCATGATTATATTTACTTATTTGTACCTTTCCTGTAATATGTGTATACCACCTTTCCAATAGCAAATCTGATCCCACAACAATAACAACAAACACTTCCACTAATCTAATCATAGCAAGCATATATATGCTTGCTGGTGTTTTTCTCATGATTCAGTTCAATAAAAATCCAAAATAATTTATTTGCAATGGTGACTGAGCACAGCCCATTGCTACTTAAATAGAACTAAAAAAGATTAGTTTTGATCTCAAGCCAAGGAGAGCTATGTGTGGAATTCTGCATGACTGAGGGTTGCTACAATATCTTCAAGTTTGGGAAATGATCTATATTGCCTCTATTCCACGTCTCCTTTGTGCTGATACAACATCCCTTGACATTAAATAAAGCAAGCTCATCTCTTACTGCAAACAGTTTCATATGTGCACACTGGAGCCATTTGACTGTCCTACTTGATATGAGTTTCCGCCTGTACACACACCCCTTACTTAAAATGCTCTGCTCCTGAGATTTTGTTCACTCTGAAATGTGTGGATCCTTTGAGAGCTTTCCAAGTGTAGCTCAAAAAGGATCAAGCCCTTGCAAGCATTCACTTTAAATGCCTGCTATGTTTTTGTCCACTTTCACTGTTGCTCTGAGGTATACTTCCCTTCCAACTTACCTGGGGTGCAAAGAAAGTGTACCACTCTCTGGTAGAACATATTCTCTTGTGAGAAACTAGTTTGGGGCCCTGGGTCTTATCAGCATTACATATGTGCAAAGCATCTTCTCTCATCAGGGATAAACTGGAGTAAGATTTAGTCCCCATCGCTGTTTCTGGGAAGAGAATATTACTACTACTACTACCACTACTACCCCACCCTTTTCCCTAATAGGGACTTAAGGCAGCTTACAGATAAAATGGGAACAGCTAAAACATTTGTGGGGGGTGGGAACCATTAAAAAACAATGAAAACAATCATAGTGGCAGGAAGGGGGAGCTCTAGTGCCTCCCCCTGTTCTCCCCCTCCCCCCGTTTGTGCCTGATGTTTTTACATTGGTATTGCAGAGGTATTAATTCATGTCAGTTGTGTGGGGGTAGATGCACAGACACAGCATTTCATATCCACATTTGCAGTGTGTGTAATGCAAGAATTTACTTCAGTATTATTTATGGTTTTTAAAAATCTGCCTAGTTTCTGCCTTTTGCCTAGAAATCAACTATCTTTTGACAAGTTATCTGGAGTAAATATATTATTCTGAAAGGGCATTTTGTCAACTAGCTTGATAGATATCTTCCATCCAGCCCCTAAAGGTATGTGTGTGAGAGTTTTATCTCCAACTTATTCTGTTGCAGAAAGAAAGAAAAAAGCCTTTGATATCAGTTGCTATGTAGAGATTTTTTTTAAAAAAAGTCAAATAAATAAATAATTCAAAACTTTCCAAAAGAACTATGACCTGCTTTAAACATTCATTATTCTTTAAATACTCATTCATAGGTAGAATCCATGCTCTGCAAAAAAAAGAGAATGATTGTTTATTCTTCAGGGCACCACAGCCTGCTTTTCCCATTCCTCCTTTGAACTGCTTTGAACACCATTTCCACTGGGCATGCCAACTTTTCACATTTTGTGAGCCAAGGCCTCCTGATTTCAAAGCCAGTTTGCATTAACATGGAAGTTCAATTTATATTTTATTCCTCAAGGATTATAATGATGAAATTGGACTCTGTTACATTAAGACTTAAAAAACAATCCAATCCTGAGGTTTTGATCAATGATCACTGTTGGTTTCTGTGCTTATTTTCTTTAATCCTACATGAGTGCCAAAGCTTTTCCTCAATGAATTCAGAGATCCAGGGCTGAGAAAGTCCCTTTCATTTTATTTCCCCCCAATTATCTACATATCCAGATTCTGTAAATATATAGGCCCCCAATTCAGCTCTAGTCAAAGCCTTCCAGTAATGGATTGGATTCAGATGCATACGTACTCTTATTTTCATCAGTGCAGTTTTCAATGAGCATCACAATGTGGATGCTAATGCCACTGAGACTGTAGCATGGAGACCTCCTTCTACTTGTGAATCTCCCTCAACAAGGTGTCCAAAGCTCTGCTGGGTGTTGTCATCATGCTAGTGTGACTTCATGCTAGCTGCATATGTCCATGCACGGAGCCCACAACCCATTATTATGCTGCTCCTATCCTTGGATGAAACAGGTTGTTCATGATTACTGGTCAGTCTAGCTCAGGACTGTCTATACTGCTTAGCAACAGTCTCCAGGATTTCAGACAAGGGTCTCCATCTGGTGGGTCTCCCTGGTGATGCCAGGGATGTAAACTGAGACCTTCTGCATGTGCTTTTCCATTGAGCTACAGCCTCTCCCTTGGGATGTCTATATATATAGCAAGGCAAAGGAGTGCCAAGATGTCTCTGGTCAATGCAGCAGGAAGATTGTCAGTTTGACTGGAAGAGGTCCTGATGGGACCTCAGAATCTAGCCCTGGTTCTAGCAAATTGCTCCAGTGAAGTACAGCATCAGAATCAGGTCTTACATAAAAAACAGGCCCTGCAGACCTAGTGAGGATGCAACTCTTTCAAATAAGGAGTTTCTCCTTAAAAAG